AATAACTGGTGAAATGATTTATTTTTTACATATTTTATTTATTGAATGTTTTTATTGATTTTTTTTTTTTTTTTGAGAGAGAGAGAGGAACACCGATGGGCTGCCTCCTGTGCACCCCCCCACTGGGGATTGAGCCTGCAACCCAGGCATGTGCCCTGACCAAGAATCAAACTGGGACCTCTCAATCATTGGGATGATGCTCAATCCACTAAGCCACACCGGCCGGCATATTTTTTTGTATCTTTTAAATCAGTAGTTAGAATAACACCTATTCAAATAGTTTCACTTTATTTGGAAAATATTTGATAGGTTAAAACATTCTGCAACAATGTGCTGTCTTCACTTTTTTTTTTAGATTTGAAAAGGTGAGGAAATAAAGGGAAATAGGGACATTCTACCTGTCATATCTCTGTCCCTCTTTCACTCTGTAGACTTCAGCAACAGTATGTGACTAGGGGTTTGAGGATAGCAACCCTCTGCAGCCAAAATATTTCTCTAGCATTTGCTTACACACACAGCACTATTATAATGTTAATTTCTATATTAAAAAGCCATTGGTAATATTTAATTCTGTAATATTATCTTAGGCACTGATTCTATTCAGATTGAAATTTCATGTAGTGAAACAGTGATCAGATTTCATGCAATATAATGATGTTCAGTTTGAGTGGGCACCAAATTTGACATATATGGTGTTTGCATAGATTGATAAGTATGATGTTTCTGTTGACTTAACAGTTGACCTGTTGTATTAGAAAATGCAATTGACTCATTTGCTAATGCTTCATTGAAAAGAAAGGGCATTATTTTAAGTAGGCATATGTTATTTAAATTTGAATTATTTGAAATATCATCCAAATACATGTATGATTAATCTTTTTCAATTTTTTTTCTCTCTCTGCCCTTTGCCAGCATTACTTAGAGCCTCCAGTGAAACTGAATGAGGCTCTAGAAAGATATGGACTTGAGACTGAAGATTTTTTTGTCTTGAAGCATGGAGAATCCAGATACCTAAATACTGATGATGAAAACTTCGAATAAATAGGAGTTTTTAATGAAATAAATTTAATATAAATTTGAAAGACTAAGAAATTCATGATTATGCTTTTTTTACATTTGGAAACTTCTGCAAGTTTGTTTTATGTTTTGTGTAATAATTTTACTAATAGAATTGCCAGTTCATATAAACAGAAAGTTCAGGTATGGGTCATTTATGTAATGAATCGGCTAAAACGGATTTTAAAGACTCATTTCTGTTCTTTTCTTAAGGGCCTTCTACAAGGTTAGTCAAGCCTGTCTACATAATGTCTAGAGTTTTTTCAGAGGACTGCTCACATAAACATATTTCTTAAATTCACATTAGAGTAATGATAACATTGATTTCCACTTGCTTATAGCACTCCTTGTTCTACTAAGAGTAGCTTACATGCCAAATATTAAGTGATATATTTTCTTAAGCATAAAAACATAGGAAGTTGGGCTAAGTTACATTTGTAAAGATTTAATTTTTTAAAAGAGGGGAACAGTATATTTCTATTGCATGTCTAAAATTCCCAAACCAAAAGCCCTGATGAAAGAAGGGAAAGAGTGTGGTTATGAGAACATGATTTGTGAAATTTTCTATTTTTCATCTAAATGTCAGACCTGCTAAGCACAAATATAGCTGCAAGGAAATAATATTTTACAAAGATAAATGCAGATCTTAAATGTTAATATACCATGTATTTTGAATTAAATTTTATTCTCTCCATACACTTTTTCCCCCCTGGTTTCTTAGCTCTAACTCTAAATATATCAATAAGATTTATGTTTTACATTATTCAGATATTTTTATATTAAATGACCCCCTCAGCACGATTCTACTTTTATTAAGCCAGTGTGGAATACTCATGGTAAAAAGAGAGAGAGAGAGATGGGAATCAGCCAACCTGAGCTTTAGTCCTGTAAGGGCTCTGTAGTCCCTTTATTACTCTGAACCATCCTAAGAGAAGAGAGCTGATTAGATAATTTGGAGGTCTGTTCTATCTGAACCATAGTCTCAGTAAAATGAACTTTATTCATAACAAATAATCAAAATAGGTTTTTTTACACCAAATACTACCCAGGCAGTGCTGTTGCACCTATATATAAGTATATGTGCATGATACATGTTAGCCACTTAATTTCACCATGGAGTTTTCTGTGTACCCTGAAACAAGTCACCTATGTTCACTGTGCCTCAGTTTCCTCATGTGCAACAAGAGGGAAATTTTGACCTACCTCCAAAAAATGTGAATAAATAATAAAGTGATTTTTAAAAAATGTACTTTGAAAATATAAAGAAGAAAATTATTTCTTAAGATACCACTACCTAATACAGATAGGTAGATTTGAAAGCTGAAAATAGGCTTTTGATAATTTCTTGTTCCTGTTGCAGATTTAAGCATATGTATCAGGACACTAAACACTGAGGACTAACAACTTTATCTTATTCATTTTGTAAAATTTGGAGAGCCAAAACAAATGTAAATGATCTTAATAAAAATTTAGCATTTTTATCTACAAAGATACAAACCAGTCAAGGGGAAATGTGTATGCAATATTTATATATAATGTATGTGAATGTATGTGATTTGGGGGCATTAAAGCACAAGAAACTTCTCCATAAAATAAAATTGACCTTCAGGAAAGAAAACTGAACAGCATAAACTTTTTCATTCAAAGGAGCATTAACAAGCAGATGCAAATCAGGATGCTAAGTTTGTGGTGGATTTGCTTTGAGGCCTGTGGCCCTAATACCAGCCAGTGTTCTTGTGGTCACCTTCCTTGCTGTTGCACTGAATGGAAAAGTCATCTTACCTCTTCTCTACGAAGCAAGCTATGCACATCTTGTTTTCTCTTTATGAATGGCTTTAATGTTGTGTTTGTATTCACATATACCAACTAATGGTCTCTAAGCACTTTAAATTATGTTCTAGTTCTTAATGGGGCCTGTATCACTTTTCTAGGTGTCTTCACAAGCTTTAATTTTTAATTATCAGTCATTTCTTTCTACTTTGTTGTTTTATCACCAAGAAGTACATTGAGCTTCATCTTTCCTTATAGAATCTCCCTCTGTTGAGTTATTCCCATTTTACTTTTCACTTATCTACATTTTAAAGGGTTTATGTGCAAAATAGAGGAAAAAAAAGGAAAAATAAGACAAACCCATTCTCTTCCTGCCCTTCAGTCTAATGTACTTCATAATACCTTTTAATCTCTTATCCTCTAAGTCAATTTCATTTTCCTCTTTGATTAGCTGGCATCATATCAATGTGAGACTTCATTGAAGTTTCCCTTTCTCCTATGGGACTGAGGAGCACTGATATTCCTCATTGCCCAAGAGGCAGAACCACCAATTAGGAGAAATCACACCTAATAAAAGCCAAGATGTGCCATGACATACAAAGATCTGCTTATGCATTGTCCTTATGTAATTCTTTCTGAGTAGTTAACAATGACTCCCCTCTTTCTCCAGTATTTTGACATTTCAGGTTCAGTGCTCTGATCTCCAGGATATGTGATTATTTATTCAAACTAACAGAAAAAAAGAAGAGGCAGTTTTAGAATCTAATGCTGCTAAAGCACACTGAAACCAGAGCCTGGTTTATAATGTGTGCGTTTTGAATATATATTTTCAGTAAATATAGAGGCAGATTTTAAAAAGTATTATAAAAAAATGTATCTTTCAGCAAATTAATACTTATGTTTGCATCACTGATAAATAAAAGTATTATTCTTAGCCACCATATGTACATTACTACTGTAGTAATTAGGAATTTACACATTTTCATCTCAATATTGAATCCTTTTTCTACTGTAAAAATATTTTTTCCAAGTTTGATTTCTTTATCAGGATAACCATGAGAACAAACATTTTTCTGTTTGAGGATTTTTGACTTCCTGTGGAAATCCATGTCTTTACCAATGGAGTTTAAATTACTGTTAAAGCTTTGCCTTAAATACATGAGTAAGAAAGCTTCTGCTTGCAGTTTGATTTACTTAATACTAAGCATGGTGGTGGTTATGAACTTGAATATTATAAAACCTGGCTGAATTCAAATATATCAATGAACTGTTATAGTAGCTTATGGAGCAAAAATGTTATTAACAGCTGAGCAATTTTCATATATTGTAATTTTAGTCAAGTAAAATCTGGATGAAAATTAATGAATAAAGTACTATCAATTAATAGGAGAAAGCATAACCTTGTGAGTTATTTTTTCCTTTTTATTAAAAAAATTATAAAATTATACCACAGTAAAAATTTCCAACAGTAGAAGAAGGTGTACATAGAAAAGTCATTTCCTCACAACATAGTCCTATGCCCAGTTTGGGTATCATTCTAGAAGTCTGCTGTCCATACAAAAGCATAAATATTTTTCATTTAAAAAACATGTCCATATTTCATGGGTGTCTTTCCATATCAGCACATTCAGACCTGTTTAGTTCTTTAAGACTCGATAATTGATTTAACCAATTGCCTATAGGTGGACACTTTGATTGATCCCAGTATTTTATACACAGCATCTTCATACTGGCACACTGAATGAGAATGGGTGAGTAATAAGAAATCCTTCTCCTAAAAGTTTATAATTTTCATTGACTAGAACAGATTTTAATAATTAGAACAGACTTTTGAAAGCAGTATGGTTAGCTGGCAGGTAGACTCAAGAGCTTAGGATCTCATTTCTCCTAAAAGAACACGGTTATATCTATGGCAGTTCTGAAACAATCACAGCTCTCAGATGAGTTAACTACAAATCACAGCAAACAGCTCTGGCTGGTTTAGCTCAGCGGTTAGAGCGTCGGCCCGCAGACCAGAGAGACCTGGGTTCCGTTCCCGCCAAGGCACGTACCTCGGTGCAGTTTGTTCCCGGGTTGGGGCCGTGTGGGTGGCAGCCAATTGATGTGTCTCTCTCACGTCAATGTGTCTGTCTCTCTTCCGCTCTATCTGAAGATAAATGCAAAAATGTCCTTGGGTGAGGATAAAAAAAAAAAAATCACAGCAAACAGCAGAAGAGTAGCTTACACATAAAAAGGTCACTGTCAATTCATTTAGAGGAAATAAGTGAAGTAGTTCAGCAAATAGCAAAATAAAAAATATTTCAGAATAAGTTGTTATATTCATTTGGTATCAATAAAATGGTCCAAAATAAACCAGAAGACTGTGGCAAGTTACAGCTGTGTAAATGATGAAATCTGATACTTACTGTTTAAATTCAGCAACTGGAAGAATCCCTTTGTAAAGATTAAGTTTATATGCATTACTTCCAGACTGCATTACTCTGGAAAAATATGACCTACTAGTTAGAATTTGGGTATTATTGTTGCCTTTTCCTTCACATCCACATCGTGGTGATTAACTAACGCTCTCATTTTCTGGGCACATTCTTCTCCATATAACAGGAAAAACAGCGAACCTTTAGTGAAAGTAGGCTGAATAGCTAAATGGCTTTCCTTTTTGAGGCAGTTATTTATATTCTGAAATAGTGTAAGCACTCGAAGGAGAATCTCCTTTGCCACGTGGCCATCATAAAGGGAAAGGAATGGGGAATCCACCTAAAATGGGAAACAATTTTGAATATTATTTTTCATGTATATTTTCACATTTCAAAGTTGTTGAGTACATTTAAGAAATCTTATCATAGAAAATTATCCATAAGATTGTATAACATAAATGCAAAATCTTATGTACCCTCACACTGTATAGTAATGGGGAAAAGAGGTTTCATGTTTTAGCTGAAAAATATTTCCTTGGAATCCTAGAATATAATCATTTGGAAAACACCCATTTCCTTTTTTAAGACCCATCATACAGTCTTCATGGGAACTCATTGATTCACCAAACATTTACGACCCACATACCCTGCCGGGCACGGGGATGAGCACATTAGTACAACAGAGTCTTTCCACAGGAGCTGAGATCATTCTAATATGGCACCACTTTTACTTCCTTTAGAACACTTATCTTTTAATTATCTTGTTTGTTGCACATTTTTGTCTCTTCTCCCTACATTGTAAACTCCATGAGGACAAGCACCATGTCATGCTTTACTCTTTGAGTATCTTGGCACTCGGCCCAGCAACTAACACATACCGGGGACTCATTTCATACTAGCATTTCAGGGCATAATAATATACATGTGAACACAAGTCAAGTATAAAAGATGTGATGATATAAATGTACCTCAAATTGGGTAGAGACAGAAAAATTACTATTTTTGCTAGGGAGACCTTTTCAAAAACAATTTTTAAAATTGAAATTACTCAATTACAAAAAATTTAGGAAATTCATGTAGGCAACAAGAATTTAAAAAAAACCAACAATACAATATTGTTCCTTAGAAATAATCCCTGTTAACATTTTAAAAAGGATAAATCTATCCAGATCTATCTGTCCAAATCTATATATTTACAAAATAAATAGGAACTATTTACTTGGGCACCAAGTAGTTCTTCTGTCATGGCTGGATTTCCAGACAAATTCAACAGCAGTTTTAAAACTTGAACCTGAAATTAGAATAATAATGGTGTATTTCAGACTCAGCTAGCTTGAATTTTTCTCTCCCTGTCCTCTTGCCATATCACATTTTAAAGTACTGCCTGTGCTTCAAGGTCTGGCTCAAATTCTCTTACTCCATGGAGGCTTCTCAATTCATCTTATGTAAAAAGCTCCCTCTCCCCCCATAACACTTGGCACAGGTCTCAGAGCATTTACAACACAACTGTCATTTAAACCTTATTTTTCCAATTACATTGTTAGGGAGAATATTGTGAATGTCTTCACGATCCACCCCCACCTACATGCATATCTTAACACAAGGTAGGCTTAACATGTGTTACATAAATTATCTTTATTATGATTACTGTTAGGTGAAATATAATTTTTTGGGGGGCTTAATCCTCACCAGAGGATATTTTTTCCATTGATTTTTTTTTTTTTTTTTTTAGAGAGAGAGTGGGGGGAGGGGGGAGGAGCTGGGGGAGAGAGAGAGAGAGACTTCGATTGGTTGCCTCCCAAACAAGCCCTGACCAGGGCTGGGGATCGAACCTGCAACCCTAGTACTTGTGCCCTTGACCAGGAATAGAACCTTCGGCCCTTCATGCTCGGGCTGACACTAACCACTGAACCACTCTGGCCAGGGCTGAAATATGATCTTGGGGGGGAAAAAAGGAATGTCTCAAAGTTCAGTTTATTTGTATTTAAAGTATGAAAAATGTAAGCTTGGTTACCAAGACTAAATAAATAACAATATGGCCCTTTTTGTAGTAGGTTACAAAGAATCTTTGAGCCTATAATTTTTATTTAAAAAATGTTTTACAATCATTTAAATAGGCAGTGATAGAAATAATCAGCAAACAAATGTTAACTTATAGCCGAGTAGCTAAAATATCAGAATTCTTATCACTTGATAACTGAAACTTAGTAATAAAAAACTCAAATAGAATTCCTACTTTAAAAACAGAGTTCATGTAAAATTATACTTCCTACAAGGTAATTGATATTAGAGTGAGGACCAGGGAGGGGGTTCTGAAGTCAGGAAATGGTGACAAATGTGCTCTCCGCTAGATCTGAAAAGGAATGTAGATATTTATTTTACAAAACTTTCTTTGATTACAAAGGCACTATGTGTTTATTAGAGAATATTAATAGAAAAAAGAAAAGCACAAAAAGGAAATTCATCCATATTTCCATGACTAGAAATGATCACTATAAGTTTTGGTATTTTCTCCTGGTCTTTATACACCTATTCTATATACTCATATATTCCTTTGATCATGTTGTACATACTAATTTGTTCATTAAGCAGAATATATGGCTTTGCTTAATTTTTTTAAACTGCTTAATTTTTTTTCCTGTGGAAAACTACATGACATATTGATATTAAACTTTATTTTCTTTAAAATTAATACGTGATCATGATAAACTTCAAACAATGCAGGAGAGAATAGGTAAAAACCAAAGCCACCATCCGATCTGCCCACTGCACTCTCCAGTGTAAAGCGTGGGTAAGTTTCTTGTATATGTGGAGATCACGTTTTTCCAATAGACATCCTTTATCAAACCACAGCCTCTTAAAGTAAAAGAGTAGAGATGACTTCTGGCCTTTCTTCAGTGTACTCCCCGGAGTCACTGTCAGATCTGGTCTGGCCTGACTGGCTGCTGGCAACACCGACAATAAGTGTTAGGAGTAAAAATTTGTCTTCAACATCAATGAAGTTTTGATTAAGAAAACAGGGACAAGAGTTCTGAAATAGGATGGTCCCAAACCTATGAAATAAGCCTGGATGAAGTCAACAGAATCTAAAAGGCCTACTATTGGTCAATGATGGCATGTTTACAACCAGGAAACAGTAACTACAATAGCTATACAGTATCTTGAACTAAAATTTGACGTTACTATGTTCTATAGAAGAGAGTTAAACATGAAAAAAAATAAAGAATATATAGAGTCCAATTACAGAATAAACTGCTATATGTATTTTGATCTGAAACCATATTAAGTCTGTCTTTATCATGTGCCATCTTGTGGTGACTGAGATTTTTTTTTCAAAATATGTTTTTATTGAATTTTTAGAGGAAGGGGGAGAGAGAGGAACATTGATGTGAGAGAGAAACATCAATCAGCTGCCTCCTGTACGCCCCCTACTGGGGATCGAGCCCGAAACTCCTGCATGAGTCCTGACCAGGACCAATCAGTCCATGGGATGATGTTCAATTCACTGAGACACACTGGCTGGGTTGGGACATTTCTTTTAAGCCATTAATTTTCTTTGCTTTCACTGCAGATGTAGCAAACACAGTTTATTTACATTAATCTTCCACTGTTGGTATTTAGTTATGAATCAGTGTTGTACCCAAAAGGTTATGATAGTACAGTGAGATCACTTATTAAAAATAAGATTTAAAACAAGTCATTTTGGTGGTTATTTACTAAGAAAATATCTAAAATAGAAACATTTTCCTACTTACAAATGGATTACTATCCAAAAGTTCATTTGCAAGTAGGAACTTTATTTATTTATACAAAATTTTTTTTCCCCCTTTATTGATTTTAGAGAGAAAGGAAGTGAGAGGGAGAGAGAGACAGAAACATCCATGACAGAGAACACTGATTGGCTGCCTCCTGCATGCCCCCCACTGGGGATTTGACCCACAATCTGGGCATGTGTCCTGACCAGGAATTGAACCAGCGACCTCCTGGTGCATGGGTCAATGCTCAACCACTGAGCCACACCAGCCAGACTAAATTATTTTTTTAAATAAACAATGTTATAATTGGTGGTTAGATTCCCAGACAAACCAAAAAAGCAAATCTTCTATTCCAGAAATACTGTACTAGGCAATGTAATGGAAAAACAAAACAAATAGAACGTATTATTGTGTGAGCCACCTTTTTAATTTTTTTTATAATCCTTACCTGATGATACATTTTATTTATTGAGAGAGGAAGGAAGGGGAAGGGAGTGAATGAGGAGGAGGGGAGAGGGGAGAGAGAGAGAAACATCAACTTGTTGGTAGCTTCCCATGTGTGCTTTGAATGGGGATCTAATCTGCAACCTAGATATGCACCTTGACTGGAAATCTAACTGGCAACTTTCGGTGTATGAAACAGTGCTCCAACCAACTGAGCCATCCGAGCAGGGCATGAGTCACCTTTTAAAAAGTCTTAACATATATAAAAACACTGACCAAATCTCAGACAGATCTCTACAGCCCCAAGGACAGACTCGCCTACCTCTGGACTCAGCTTTCCTCTGGGGTTTGGATAAGAGAACTGCAGAGACACAGAGGAGAGATTTTTTTCTATAGCTGCAAGGCCATGGGGAGAGAAAAGGGAGTTTTTATGGGTTCCCAGGAGCTGGAAATTTCCTTGGTGTCCTGGAGAAAGACATGGTAATGGGTGCATACATTTTGGAAAATGACTATGGATGGATCAATATTGTTAAAATATTACTAATATAATTATTACATTTAATTTTGAATGCCTTTGGGTACATCCAAATAAGTATGGCTACTGGAAATATGGAAAGTCCATAAGAAACATCTCAGAACATATTTTAAAAGGACTATAATGAGGCTCCACTGTAATCACAATTTGATAACCTCAGAAATAACTTCAGTGAAGTTGAGTATTTAGAGTCTGGATTCGCATTAGGTTCTTCTACAACGCTTGTGTATTTTGCCCAGCCAGGTGGCTCAGTTGATTGAGTGTTGTCCTGTGCACCAGGAGGGATCCAGGTTCAATTCCCCATCAGGGCACATAACTAAGGTTGTGGGTTTGATCCCTAGACAGGGTGTATATAGGAAGCAACCAATTGATGTTTCTCTTACACATCAATGTTTCTCTCTTTCTTTCTCTCTCCTTTTCCTTCCCTCCCTCCCTTCTTCTCTCTCTATAAAGTCATGAAAATATCGAGTGAGGATTTAAAACAATAATAAAAAATAAAATAAAGTAAAATGCTTATGCATTTTCCCGTCAACTGTGCCAGAAAACAGAGACCAATATAGTAAAACACTGATAGATCAACCCAGCAAATCATAAACTTTGATTAGTCTACCTTCTGTTTTTATGCTATTTCTTGAAAAATGGCACTTGATAGGAATACACACTAATATGAGGGGTTACCCAAGTAACTTTCATAGGGTGCTTCTTTGATCCTACTTAATTCAGCTCAATCTATTGTCTCCTACGTCTACATAACAGGTTAAAGTGAAGCAAGGAAACATCCATTACTAAAACTTAAAAAAGTAGTTTTAAAAAGATTTTTCAATCAACAATGGGTGAATCAAAAAAATGTTTTAACTCTAAGGTAAGCAAAAATCCAATTAACCAGCAATATCACTCAAAGATGCCATTTTTATTGTTGTTGTTAATCCTCACCTGAGGATATTTTTCTTAAATTTTTTTTTTCTTTATTGATTTTGGAGAGAGAAAGGGAGAGGAAGAGAGAGAGACAGAACATCAATTACAGAGAATATAGATTGGCTGCCTCCTGCATGCCCCACACTGAGGATTTGGCCCACAACCGGGGCATGTGCCCTGACCAGGAATTGAACCAGTGACCTCTTGGTGTATGGTTCGATGCTCAACCACTGAGCCACACCGGCTGGGCAACCTGAGGACATTTTTCCATTGATTTATTTTATTTTATTTTATTTTTTTTTAGAGAGAGTGGAAGGGAAAGGGGGAGAGAGAAACATTGATGTGGGAGACACATTGATTGGCTGCCTCCCACATGACCCTGACCAGGGCCCGGGATAAAACCTGCAACCCAGGTATGTGTTTTTGACCAGATTGAACCCAAGACCCTTTGGTCTCAGGGCTGATGCTGTCAGCACTGAGCCAAACTGGCCAGGGGCAAAGACAATCAGTGTTCCTGTATCTGGTTGGGTGGGGGAAGCTAGTTACCTTTAGGGAAAGGTAAACTGATGTGCAGAAAACCAAATAAATAGCAATCTATTGATAAGCAAAACATACTATTTTCTTTTTTTTTTTTATCCTCACCTGAGGACATTTTTGCATCTATCTTCAGATAGAGCAGGCGGGAGAAAGGGAGGAAGAGAGAGAGAAACATCGATGTGAGAGAGATACATCAAGTGGCTGCCACCCACATGACCACAACTGGGGCCAGGGACAAATGCCAATGGAGGTACATGCCCTTCGCAGGAACCAAATCTGGGACTCTCCGGTCCATGGGCCGACACTCTAACTGCTGAGCCAAACCAGCCAGGGCCATATTATTTTCACAAGTTAATTTTGAAATTCAATATTAGGGGACAAAAATAATTTACTTTTTTGGATCCATGTAAGGGTTTTTAATAAACTCTAACTAAATCTCTGTTTTTTTGAGAGACTTGAAAATTCAATTCCAGTCTCATAAGCCTGATGCAATAGCTCTTTGTATTTCAAGTAATAACACTTCCTTCGTACCTTGGTACTTCCATTTCCTGTAAGCAACACTTGGAACAGGTCTGTAATGTAATTGGTAAGCATATGCTGATGGTCATTGGTAACTGTCATGTTTGTTAACAATCTCAGTCCTGCAAGTTGCACGGGGGAGTTCAGGGGACAAGAGAAGACATCCTCACAGACTTGATGGACGTATACCTGGAGGCAGGAGAAAAAAAAGTGAGCATCTTAGAATTTCCAAAATTTTTCTATTGAACAGTAACTTCCTGCACAGTGGAACAGGGTGAATGTTCAGGATGAGACTGGCTCATCATAAAAGACATTTCTTTCCAACTTTCAGAGTTTGGTGACCTTTTTAAAAAGATGGATTTGTTAACGCCAGGCACTATGCTGAGCATTTTATAAATATACCTCACTTAATTTGTAAAACTCTAATGAGGTACGTGTTATTATTAATATCTTACAGAAAAGGACTTTGAAGTCTTCAAGGAATTTGCATCCTTTGCCCAGTATATACCAGCTGCTGGGGGAGCAATGTCTAATTCCAGAGGCTATGTTCTCAACACCAGTGGCCTCTTACTTGTTGGGCACCTCCCAACTCAGTCTACTTACTGAGTCAACTGGTCTGAGCATACCAGAATTAACTATCTTAATAGTAGGGTCTAGGAGGTACATCAATTTAGAAGTAAAGAAGGGGTGGGGGAGTAAAACAGAATTGTGCTGTAGAATTAGTCCTATCAAAAATAAGCAGAAGCAAAACTATATTTGGCCCAAGGTTCATATATACCTAGGGGTATACATATGAACTACTCCTTCATAATACTGTTACCACCACTGGCAAAATGTAATGCAATGCCAGCAGTAGTTCAATTTCACTCATGATAGAATTAAACCCAGTGTGATGGAAAGTTTTTTGAACTCTATTTTCTATGTCTGGCCATGATCTTTCCACTTTGGAAATACTGTATCTCGCAGATTGTTGGTAAGCTAAATCTGAACTTCACCAAAAGTTCTAACTGGTAAGAAAAATTCCTAATATTAAATGCTAAGAAATTGCCAATTGTCTCATAAGCCAGTATTAACATTTAAAAAATATCAAGATATATCCATGTTACCACAGAAACTAAAGCAATGGTAGTAAAGCAAAGAGAGATTAAAATTTTAATCGGTTTCAAGATCTACAATATGTTTAGACGTCAACTGGCTTTCTTGGGTTACAATTTCATTACACATCCATTCTTTTTTAAAAAACGGCATTTCCTTAGCTCTTTATAAATCATATTTCTGTAAGATACTGATGTCTCTCAAAGCATTTCCTAAAATGTGTTGAGCATTTACATCCCTACTATCTCTGAACCTTTTGCCATTTCAGTTCTAGCAACAAGATGACCAGCCCTGGCTGGTTTGGCTAAGCGGATAGAACACCAGCCCGCGGTCCAGAGAGACCTGGGTTCGGTTCCCGCTAAGGGCATGTGCCTCGATTGCGGTTTGTCCCCGGCCCCAGTTGGAGTTGTGTGGGTGGCAGCCAGTCGATGTGTCTCTCTCACATCGATGTTTCTCTCTTCCTCCCTCTCGCTCTATGAATGCAAAAAGTGTCCTCAGTTGAGGATTAATATAAAAAACCAAAACCAAAAACAACAACAAAAAAAACACCAAGATGGCCAAATGGGCCAGCTCAGTTATTCCTGGAGCCGTGCCCACCTTACCTGTTCCTTTCTCTTGGGATTCCCTCCTCTCCAACTCTACCTATAGAAAACTTAGACCTTAAGAGCCAGGTTGTACTCCACCTTTTACAGAAACTTTTTGATAATATCTCCCTTTTCTACATACTCAACGATGTTTTTACTTAAATTTTTTCTTAAAGTATTTCATCATGTTTTGCCTTGATTACAACTGTTATGAATTTACCTTATCACTCTCTTCTAGTTTTCTTAAAAGACATTAATCATGTTAATTTCTTTCTTTTTAATGTTTTTATTGACTATTTAGACAGAGATAGAAACATCTATGTGAGAGAGAAACATCAATCGGCTGCCTTTCCTGCATGCCCCCTACTGGGAATTGAGCCCACAACCTGGGCATGTGCCCTGACCAGGAATCAAACCAGGACCTCTCAGTCCATGGGACAATGCTCAATCCACTGAGCCACACTGGCCAGGCAATCATGTTAATTTCTTAACTTTGTGCCACAGATCAGTAAGTAGCTCAATAAATGTTGAGTTAACATAATTTCCCAATTTGATGTATCTTTCTGCTAATGTTATCTAACTTTAGGCTGTTTCCTTTACTACACTTGGATTAAAGTAAATTCCCAAATTCAAAAGGTCACTACACCTCTTACTGGCTGGTTCAGATCACTCCCTCCTCTGCCTTGTTATAACCATTAAAAAATAGACAGAGGACCTAAACAGACATTCTTCCAAAGGAGACATACAGATGGTTAACAGGTTCATGAAAAGATGCTCAACATCACTAATCATCAGGAAAATGCAAATCAAAACCACAATGAGATATCACCTTACACCTATCAGAATGACTATCATTAATAAATCAACAAACAAGTGTTGGCGAGGATGTGGAAAAAAATGAACCCTGTGCACTGTTGGTGGGAATGTAAATTGGTGCAGCCACTATAGAAAACAGTATGGAGATTCCTCAAAAAATTAAAAATAGACTATCATATGAATTCCAATTCTGGGTATTTATCTGAAGGAAATGAAATCACTATCTTGAAGAGACAGCTGTACCCCATGCTCACTGAAGCATGCATTATTCACAATAACCAAAGACAAAGAAACAACGTGTCTGTCAACAAATGGATAAAAAAAAAGTGATATACATAATGGAAAATTATTGAGCCATTAAAGAGAAAGAAATTCTGCCATGTGCACCAAAATTATACTAAGTGAAATAAGTCAAACAGAGAAAGACAAATTCAGAATGATCTCCCTTATATACAGAATCTAAAAAAAGCCTAACTTATAGAAACAGAGTAGCAGGGTGTTGCCAGGGGCTGGGGGTGGAGGAAATGAAATGTTGGTCAAAGGGTACAAACTTCCAGTTATAAGATGAATAACTTTTGGGGACTTAATGTACAGCAGGGTGACTATAATTAATAATACAGTAGTGTATAATTGAAAGTTACTAAAAGAGTAGATTTTAAGTATTTTCACCACAGGGAAAAAGAAAGTAATTATGTGAGATAATGGAGGTGTTAGCTAAAGCTATTATGGTGGTACTCATTTTGGAGTATATACATGTATCCAATCACTCTGTACACCTTAAACTCACACAGTGTTATATGTCAATTATACTGCAATAAAGCTAGGAAAGAAAGGTAATTCTTGGCCAAAAAGTTATAAAGGATAGTCTACTAAAATTTCATTACTGACCTTTTCATTATTTTCTTTTTCATTTATAGATAACCTTACACATTTGTGATTTCTGATAGTTTACCTTTATCTTGATTTGATTTTCAATATTCACACTCAGGTTACTCAGTGCATTTAAAGCCTTCTCTTTAATACTGTGGTTGGGATTGTTGATTTTGCTTCCAACAATGGGAATCCCACCCAGTTCACGAATAATGGCCTAAGAGGGAAAAATACAGGACCACAAATTCAATATGCAGCCCCCTGTATTGACTTCTTTGCATCCACAAACACAAATAAAAAAATTAAGGACTCTTTGAAAAACCTTTTCCATATACAACCCATAAATCTTATTTTAAAGAATTACCATCTATAATATTACAGGTAAAAAAATCAATTGAAAATAAAATTAAGGTGTATTTATTTGTTTTGTTTTATATCCTCACCCGAAGACATTTTTACTTTTTTTTTTTGTTCAGAAAGAATGTGAGGGGGAGAGAGAAATAGAGATAGAGATAGAGATAGAGATAGAGAGAGAGAGAGAGAGAGAGAGAGAGAGAGAGAGAAACATTGACATGAAAGGGACACATCGAATGGCTGCCACCTGCATGACCCAACCAGGGCCGGGGACAAACTGCAACCAAGGTATGTGCCCTTAGTGGGAACTGAACCCGGGTCTCTCTGGACCACAGGCCGATGCTCTAACCGCTGAGCCAAACCAGCCAGGGCTTAAGATGTATTTAAACTATAACATGGTGATACACCAAGATTTGCAGTTACTACAATGAAAGTAATTTACAAACAAAATTATTTTACCTTGAAACAAGTTATATCACTTCTTTATATAGGCAAATTTATAAAAGTATTATGATTTAGAATACAAAGCAGTGTTTGTTAAAATGTATTCTTTGTAATACTAATCCCTCAAGATGTTGATGAATGTTCCATTCAAAGAAGAGGAGGTTTGCCCTGGCTGGTTTGCTCAGTGGTTAGAGCATTGGCCCATGGACCAATGAATCGCGGGTTTGATTCTGTCCCTAGTCAGGTCATGTGGGAGGCAGCCAGTTGATGTGTCTCTCTCACATCAATGTTTCTCTCTCTCTCCCACTCTATCTGAAGATAAATAAAAAAATATCCTTGGGTGAGGATTATAAAAAAAAAGGGTGGGGGGGTTATGGTTAAGCAAGTGTGAGAAACTTTGGGTATAACAAGAGTAAACATATTTTAAAAAAATTTTTATTCCTGTCCGGCTGGTGTGGCTCAGTGATTGAGCATCGACCCATGCACCAAGACGTCGCCGGTTCAATTCCCAGTCAGGACACATGCCCAGGTTGTGGGCCTGGTCCCCAGTGGAGGGCATGCAGGAGACAGCCAATCAATGCTCTCTCTCATCGATGTTTCTATCTCTCTCTCCCTCTCACTTCCTCTCTCTCTCAAATCAATAAAGGAAAAAAAAATTTAAAAAAAAATATTTTATTCCTTACCTGAGGGTATTTTTCTATTTTATCTTCAGATAGAGTGGGAGGGAGGAAGGGAGAGGGAGAGAAACATGTATGTGAGAGGAACACATCGACTGGTTGCCTCCCAGATGATCCTGACCAGGGCTGGGGACAAATTGTAACCGAGGTACATGCCCTTGACCAGAATCGAACCCGCGACTCTTTGGTCCACTGGCTGACGCTCTAACCACTGAGCTAAACTGGCCAGAGCATAAACATATTTCTTTATTGTGATACATGAATGTTCATGTGCATTGGGAAGCTCCAAGAGGGGAATATTGAATATAATATAGCTGAATCGTGAAAAACACGTTTGAAATGCATGGGTCCACTTATATATGGAGTGTTTTCAATAAATACTATAAATATATTTTTCCTTCTTTATTGTTTCTTAATGATATTTTCTTTTCTCCAGCTTACCTTATTCTAAGAATACAGTATACAATACATATAACAAATAATATGTGTTAATCGACTGTTTACGATGTCAGTAAGGCTTCTGGCCAACAGCAGGCTATTAAGTTTTGGGGGTGTCAAAAGTTACTTGCAGCTTTTCAACTGCACGGCGGTTGTTGTGTTTAACACCCAAATTATTCAAGAGTCAACTGAATTGCTAACTGTACAAAAAAAGAGGGTCATTTTTCAATGGTGAGGGGATAGGAGGAACACCTATTAACATCATGCAGAACTAGAGTTCTACAGTTTGAAAAACAGTTTCCAAATTTCCAAAGGAAAAATAACTTAGGAATTTCTCACAATCGATTGTATCACTATGTGCCTTTGGCCCTGACATTGAAAAACACAATTGCGTATGAACAATGCCCAAAGTGGAAACAACACAAAGGTATATCAAATGATGAGCAGGTAAAAAAAAGTGGTCACTCCATACATGAAATGTTATTCAGCAATAAATAGCTGATACATGCTACAAAATAGATCTTGAAAACATTATGCTGAATAATAAAGGACCACATATTGTGTGACTTCATTAGTATGACATGTGCAAAATAGACAAATCTATACTGAAAGTCCAGTAGTGGTTCCCTACGGGTAGGAAGAGTGGACACCAGCACAGGTGGTTGATAAAAGGCACAGGGTTAATTTTTAAGGTGATGAAAATGTTCTAAAATTGATCTGTGATGATCACTGTATAATTCTTTAAATATACAAAAAGCCACTGAATTGCACACTATAAATGAGTGAACTGCACGGTATATTCATTGTATTTTAATAAAACTGTTACCAAAAAACAATTGCTTCCATTGTTACAAGAAACACAGGCTGAAAATGACTACTGTCATTTTTACCAACAGCCCAATACCCTTACTCTACTGTTAAAGGTAGGCATAGCATTGAGAGGAAAAAAAAAACTTTCCTTCTGCAATTCCAGGTTCAGGTTCTTCCCAAGGACTTGTGCTTACTAGGTTACTAGAAAACAGCTGCTGCTTCTTATTTTCCTACTGTAGTACTGCTAGAGCAGATCAAGGCACTATAATTAATGATGAGGGGCACCAACTCCCATTATCCAAGAAAGTACTTATTCACCAGTAGCTATTGACCCACTTGAGTATAGTTTGTTTCAGAGGGATATAAAACTGTGGTATCAGAAAAACCCCAATATAGGCACGCTAATAATATATTAGTTATTCTTTGTTTTTGTTTGCCTGGCATCCCTCTTTCCACGAGGGCATCTCTTCTATCCCATATAGTCCCTGGTGGGACTGCTAGTCAGCTGTGTCCACACCCACCCCTGCTGTATGGCTACAAGATGCTTATGTGAGCCAGGCCTTGCTAACCACGGTCCATGGTGCCTTGACATAGCAACTGAGTCAAAGGGTTGGCACTTGATCCTATACCACAGCGCCACCTTCTGGATAATGAGCTACAGGAATGAAGTCTTCAGAGGCCAGATGCTTTGCTTCCAACCCTGTAAAGAAAACCTCTTCGTGGCCAGAGACACAAAGACCAACACACACAAAGAGAGAAGAGGGAAGAAAGAGAACTCTGATAACACTTTCCATAGCTCTGAACTGTATTCACTTGTGCCTGAAACCAGTGCTATTCTTGGGTGTCCAAGTTAACTGAGCTCAATGTTTTCCCTTTCTGGTTTAAAATAATTTGAGTTGGGTTCTGTCACTTGCAATCAAAACAATGTGAGCAACACAAAAATATTCTTTGTACAGTATTTCATTATAAATCTCTAAAGCTTTATAGTAAACCTTGGCATACTAGGGAAAACTGGACTGAAATAAAGTATCAATTCAAATTAATTTTTTATTCAGGACAATGTTAACAAAGAGGCATTAGGTGAAAATAATAACAAAAACTTTTCTACTCTTTCTCCATGGGGGCACAGACGAAAGAATTCAAAATAAGCTTTTTAGTAAAGTCTCTACTTGTAGAAGCTGTTTACATTGTTGGTACCAGAGTGATCCAGGGACTACCTGCACCAGAACCATCCTCACAAGAGTTATTACAGTGTAAAGCATGTACTTAAGTGTTAGATGCTTTCAATGTTCTGCTGCTGAATTTTAAATAATTTAAAAGGCCAGGCAATGCTGAGTGTTAATTAGATACACTTATTACAAATGTGATACCTGTGACCAACTTTATAGGAATCTAGAAACCTATTAATAAGCACACCACTATTAGGCTGTGCTTTTCAGAAGTAAACAAACCTTATGCTATAGGTATAAGTAGGCACATTGTATACATGAGAAAATTGAGGCTCCAGAAGGTTAACTCTTCAGGGTCACAATTACTGCTGGTGTGTAAGAATGGAAGGAGCCTGTTTGCTGAGACTGGGATACTTACCTGGTTAGCTGAAAAGGCTGCATTGTTACCCACAGTGACCAAAGCTTTCTCAATAATTATAGGATCCTCAGTTAATTCAAGCAGATAAAGGAGTTTCTGAAGTTGTTCAGCATTTAGGACATCATCATATGAACCATTGGTTAAGTCTTCTGCATAAGAAGAAAATTATTTAAAGTTCACCTAAAATCAATATGACATTTAAAAAATTTTAGAAACAGCATTGAGTGCTCTCTAGCCAGGCACTGTGTTAACCACTCTGTGTGCTTTGTCTGATTCAAGTAACCCTAGGAAGAAGATACTATTGTAATTCTCAATTTACAGTTGGGAAACTGAAGCTTATAGATATTAAAAAATTAGTCCCTTGGTATTTTCTTTTAGTAAAACACTGCATGTAAATAATATAATGCCAACTGCATTTTCTGTTTCTTTTAAAAACCAGGTACACCCATCCAATGAAACAACTGCCTATAGGATGTGATTTGCATTAAACAGACCTTTTCTGATCACAATTTTTAGAGCAGTAGGAAAAGTTTTAAGAGGAACCCAATCGTGTTTTTGGTATGGGATTTTGTTTGGTTTATTTGAACAAGGCATTGATGATTGGGAGGCTAGATAGATAACAGTCTGTCTTGCTGTAGCAATGACCAAAAAAAGGTGTCATTCTGAGTAAATACTAGAATAGTCAAATGCTGGATCTGCTCAGTGACTTTTGAAATTACAGTTTTAACCTTTAAAAAGATCCTGTTTGCAGAAATCAGGAAAAGCAAAAACCATTTTATAATGCTATTATTGTGTTATAAACATAGACTGATTCCTTCAAAGTAAAACTATGATTATAGGTCAGACAATGCATGTGTCCACAATACACTCTTGGGGGTGGGGGAAGAGGAGAAGGTTATACAAACTAGGTACTATACGATGTCACATCTGTACTTTTCTTTTTATTTTATTTTATTTTATTTTTTGATCCTCACCCGAGGACATTTTTCCATTTTTTTGTTCAGGTAGAGTGGGAGAGAGAGAGAGGAACAGAGAGAGAGAGAGAGAAACATCTACGTGAAAGGAACACATCGAGTGGCTGCCACCCGCACAACCGACCAGGGCCGGGGACAAACTGCAACCGAGGTACGCACCCTTAGCGGAAACCGAACCCGGGTCTCTCAGGACCGCAGGCCGACGCTCTAACCGCTGAGCCAAACCGGCCAGGGCTGTACTTTCCTTTTTAAAAATATGTATCAAATTATTATAGGTGGTTAACTTTGGGTGCTGGGATTAAAAATGCCTTTTATTTTCTACCCTGTGCGAATGAATACTTTGATATTTTAAAACAATAAATGCATATTACTGCTGTAAACAATAAACATGTATTACTGCTGTAATTAAAATAAGTAGCCCTAGTCAGGTTGCTCAGTTGGTTGGAGCATCGTCCCTCACACCAAAAGTTTGTGGGTTCATTCCAGGTCAGGGTGCATACGGGAGGCAATTGATATTTCTTGTACCATGTTCCTCTCTCTCCAAAATCAGTAAAAACATACCCTCAGGTGAGGATTAAAAATAATAATACGAAGAAATAATTGAGTATATCACTTAAAGAAGAATCACAAAAACTATGAGGGAAAGGGACAAGTATAGATTATGAGAACCAATAAGTGAGATGACGTCCTGAAGAAGCCAAATAAGAAATCAACTCTTAGAAAAATCTAAATGCTAAAAAACTAGCAGAGTCTCACTCCCAAGTTTTATTATCAGGATCTCTGGGCGGACCCTGCCTTTACTCCACTCATTTACACTTTATAAAACAGGGCTCCACCCAAAGAATACTTGAAAAGATAAGTGAAAGAATGACAAATTAGAATGGAAACAATTTTAATTTTACACTCAAGGAAACTGAAGTCAAGATCATTGAAGGATTTGCTAAAGTCACACAGGAGTTAGCAGCAGAGACCAGAAAAATGAAAATACAAAGCTGTAGCCAAGTCACTTAACCTCTTTTTGGGTCTGTTTTCTCATGTGTAAAATAAAAGGGTTGATCTAAGATAATAACTGGTTCCAAAGGTTCCTATTCAACCTGGAAGTTATGAGATTTTATATACATATATATATGGCAGAAATATAATAAATTTAACTAAGCCATACTTCCAAGACATTTCAAAATCCGATTACTTCTTTTATTTTTATTTTTCTCTATTGATTTTAGAGAGATCAAAACATCAATGACAGAGAACCTCGACTGGCCGCCTCCTGCATGACCCTCACTGGGGATCAAGCCCACAATCTGGGCATGTTCCCTTGACCCATTCCGCAGGTTGAGCGACGAGGACTCTAGAGGGGGAGTGAGGATGAGGAGGGACAAGAGACCGAAAAATGGAGACAAGACAGGGCTCTAATCAAGTCTAGTTTATTCTGGGGAGATCCACAGTATATATAGGGCAAGAAGTAGAAAAACAAGAACATTTGTTGCCAAGCGATGTTTGTGGCAACCACCCTGAAGCAATTTCAGGTAAATATCACATAAATATCCAGGGTGGAACAAAAGATAAACAGAGCATAACTGGCTGAGTAAATGGTTACTTAAAGAATGCAGAAACATTGTATACAGAGATATCCTGCCTTGGGGCAGGAGATGGCAGAGCAGATTGTAACAAAATGGATGCCATGCAAACAGTCTCCCACATGCCCTGACTTGGGAATCTAAGGGGGGGTGGGGGCTCTTGGTGCATGGGTCGACGCTCAACCACTGGGCCACACTGGCCGGGCAAAATCTGATTATTTCTTTATGCACTTCCACACAAAGCCATTTAAAAAAATTTTTTATAGATATACAAATAATTTATAAATGGTTAAGTAAAATTTTACAGGGAAAAGTGTTAAATCATAGAATTTTCACTTGAAGGGAAGAGGTGCAATGTGGTATTTTGAAGTAAGCCAATGCTAAGACATTTGAGTGTCTAGTTTAATTCCAGCTAAGCTACTTACCAGCTGAGAGACTTAACCTCTCTAAGCATTAGATTCTTCATTTACTATATGGGAGTTAATAGTGCCTGGCCTCAAAGCAGTTTTGTGCTTCAAATACTGTGAAGACCAGAAATATTTTAGTTATTAGTTTTATTAATAGGACACATGGCTGGTTAACAACAAAACTGGCTCTAGAATCCAGATCTTTTCACTCCCAGTCCATTTCTCTCTCCCCTACCCCATACACCACCATTCCTCTTAATCTATTAAAATGATGAGCCCTATTTAAATTTTGTAAATAAATACTAAATTCTCTGCTTGAATTTTTAATGAAAACCATGTGTTACTTTTTCAGTAAAGAAATAAACCTAAAACTCTAAACCCTTTGCAGTGGTTCTCAACCTTCCTAATGCCGCGACCCTTTAATACAGTTCCTCATGTTGTGGTGACCCCCAACCATAAAATTATTTTCGTTGATACTTCATAACTATAATTTTGCTACTGTTAGAATCGCCATCAGAAATATGTGTTTTCCGATGGTCTTAGGCGACCCCTGTGAAAGGGTCGTTAGACCCCCAAAGGGGTCACAACCCACAGGTTGAGAACCACTGTTGTAGAGTCTGATGATCACCCAATTATCCAGCTTTTCCACTGGTGAATTTTTGAACTGCTGTTACACAGGTGAGCAAACATGTATCATAGGTCTGCACTTAGCTTTGTGCCAACAAGACTGAAAGAATTTTGGGCTTAGTGGTTCTCCATTCCCTTGGGTAAACTGAGGAAATACTACAACTCAAAGGAAATGAAAAGTGTCTACCAAATAATAACAATAGCAAGGTAAACATCAAGATAACTGTCATGATACAGACTCATTCCAAACAGGTACTTAATATGCTTTTCTGTTTGTGTAGTCCTATGTCCTTCATTTAAAATTATCTTCATACAGGCTTCTTGCTAGATGTACTCTTAGTTTTTAAAGTTTTTATTACTATCATAAATAAAATCTTTCCCATTAAAATTTTAAAGTGGTGCCCTGGCCAGTTTGGCTTAGCAGTTAGAGCATCGGCCCGCAGACCAGAGAGTCCTGGGTTCGGTTCCTGCTAAGGGCACGTACCTCGGTTGCGGTTCGAGCCTGGACCCGGTTGGGGTTGTGCGGGTGGCAGTCAGTCAATGTGTCTCTCTTCACGTCAATGTTTTTCTCTCTCGCTATTCCTCCCTCTCTCCCCCTCGTTCTGTCTGAAGATAAATGCAAAAGTGTCTTAGGATAAAAAAAAAAATTGAAGTGGTTACTGCTTATATACAAAAAACTACTAATTTGGGTATATTTATCTGGTATTCAAGTTACTTTATTAAACTCTTATTACGGCTAAAAGTTAGTTGATTCTCTTATTTTTCTAAATAAATCATTATGTCACTTACTAATTATAATTTTGTCCCCTTTCTAATATTTATGCATTGTTTTTTGTCTTATCAAGCTATGACTCCAGGACAAGGTTGAATAGTAGTTGTGACAGCAGGCACCCTTTCTCTTGCCCTTGAATTTAGTAAAGATGCTAGTGTTTCACCATTAAACATAATGTTTGATTTTGGTTTTTGATGGATGCTCTTCATCAACCTAAGAACATTTCCTTCTATTTACTCCTAACTTGCAATTTTTTTTATCAGAAATGATAATTTTCAAATGCTGTACTATTATTAATCCTCACCTGAGGATCCCCCCCCCCCACACTGATTTTTTAGAGAGTGAGTAAGGGAGGGAGGCGGAAGAAATACGGAGACAGAAACATCGATGTGAGACACACGTCAATTGATTGCTTCTCACATGTGTCCCAGCTGGGGCCAGGGACCAAACCTGTAACCCAGGTACAAGCCCTTGACTGGGAATTAAATCCACAAACCCTCGGTCCGTAGGCCAATGCTCTAACCACTTAGCAACACAAGCCAGGACTCAAATGCTGTAATAATGATGTGTTTTTGCTTTTACTCTATATTAATGCAATAAATTACATTAATATATTTTCCAATATAAATCTTCCTTACATATTGATTTGGCCTTGGTACTTTAATCCCCTGATGGATATGATTTGCTAATATTTCATTTAGAATTTCTATTCATAATTGAGATAAATTTAAAGTACTTTAATGCTATTCTTGTCATGTATTGGTATCAGGTGAAGTGAACTGCAATGGTTTC